ATTCATTCCAGTGACATGTCAAGGTTTAAGTTTACATCCCCAATTGTAATTCAATTATTGTGCTAAAAGGAACTTTATTAAATTGGTTTTCTAAGTCCCTCTCTAACTGGGTTAACTGGTTAAAAAGATCCAATAATTTCTCCAACTGGAAATCTACCATCATCACCAACAGCAGCAAGAATCAGCAATGCTGACTGACGCACCCCTAAACAGAGTGTCATAAATGATGAAGAGTTGTACGCAGACTACTATATCTGATCTCAGAATAACTGTATCAGGTAGTTAGTACCAGTTCCATCTTCTGAAAAAGAAATAAGCACATGAGGGCTACTTAACATATAGTTAATGTCACAGCTAATAAGTGGGCAGAGCTAGGACAACTCAGACACTGACCCTAGAGGCTATGCTCTAGGATCTATTTCCTTTTGGTTCTCTTCATAAGCCACCTTTTTTTTTTTTCTTAGAGATGGAGTCTTGCTCTGTCACTCTGGCTGGAGTGCAGTGACACAATTCTAGCTCACCTCAGTCTCAAACTCTTGGGTCCAAGTGATCCACTTACCTTACCCTAGTAGCTGGGACTACAGGTACATACTACCACACTCGACTAATTTATTTAAATATAAATCTTTTTGTAGAGCCAGGGTCTCACTACGTTACCCATCCTGGACTCAAGTGATCCTCCTGCCTCAGCCTCCCAAAGTGTTGGGACAACAGGTGTGAGCCACTGCTCCTGGCCTCAAGGTATTTTTAAACGAAGCTGTCTTGTTGGAAACTCTGGAATCTGCATAAGTAGTCTTTATTCAGTTAGTGCTTCAGTCAGCTGTTTCCAGGGGCACCAAAGAATCTGCTATGGCAATGCCCTGTAATTCCCTATCCCATAACCCCTGTTCTGGCTAATCATCACTTTAAATTCAACCCTTGACTTAAATTCCAACTTCTTGGCTGGGAGCAGTGGCTCACCCCTGTAATCCCAGCACTGTGGGAGGCTGAGGTGGGTGGATCACTTGAGGTCAGGAGTTTGAGACCAGCCTGGCCAACATGGTGAAACCCCATCTCTATTAAAAACACAAAAAGTAGCCAGGCATGGTGGCACGCGCCTATAATCCCAGCTACTTGGAAGGGTGAGGCACGAGAATCGCTTGAATCCGGCAGGCGGAGGTTGCAGTGAGCCGAGATGGCACCACTGCACTCCAGCCTGGGTGACAGATGAGATGAGACTCTGCCTCAAAAATAAATAAATAAATCCAACGTCTTCCCACCTAAACTTATTCTCAAATCATTCTTTCACATAAACACCCATATTCTGCTTCAGAAGGTTAATTACAATGTCAAACTTTTTATTACATTATTTGCTCTAACAAGGACAGGGACTAGATGCACTTTTCATTATTATACCTAGAACTGCCCAACACATAAAAAGTACTTAATTATTAGCTGACTGACGAATCATTACATGTATAAATTATTAGATTCCTTCAACATAAAAATCTCTAATTTTATAGCGTAGGAAAAAATAAAAGGTAGCATATCACCTAAAATAACTGTAAAATTACCTACCAAATTAACAACTTCAATCATTATGTTTTTCTACACATACAAGATTATTAAATTGTTTTCTTCCCTAAAAAATTACCAGCTCTTTCAAAAAACAGAAGGTGATTTCCTGAATTAAAGTATGTTACAACCAGGCTGCATGTGGTTGGGTGCCTGTAATCCCCGCACTTGGGGAGGCCAAGGCGGGCAATCACAAGGTCACGAGTTTGAGACCAGCCTGGTCAATATGGTGAAATCCCGTCTCTACTAAAAATACAAAAATTAGTTGGGCGTGGTGGTGGGTGCCTGTAATCTCAGCTACTTGGGAGGCTGAGGCAGGAGAACTGCTTGAACCCAGGAGGCGGAGGTTGCAGTGAGCTGAGATCGGGCCACTGCACTCCAGCCTGGGCGACAGAGCAAGACTCCCTCTCAAAAAAAAAAAAAGTTACAACCACAGAAAAATGCTTCTTAAAATCCACTGCAAAAGGGCTACACCAGAAGCCAACAACCTCTCTTTCCTTATATCAAAATGAATCAGGTTATTTTACACTGACTAGTCACAAATACGGCAATATATTGTTCCCTGATTGGTCAGCTCTTTAGGTATCTTATTGGGTTTTTTCTTCATAATTTCCACTCCAAGACAACAGGAAAGTATTTTGCAAAAAGAATGTTTCAGAAGAAAAGGATGGGGACAAGCAAACACATAAAAAAGGAAATACAAAAACCATTTAGGAGTAGCAGTTTTGTAAACTTACTTGTCCACTGGGACGGGGTAGCCACTTAAGGTTAGACTAACAGAGTGTGCACTAAGTTATACTAGATCCAATCTTCTGAAAAGAGCACAGTATCAGATCTACACCCTAAAATTGATGAACAGGTATCCCAAACACTAAAGAAACTATGTTATGGACCCTTAATCTGTATGGGGACAATTTAAAGATGTATTATTTAGCTAAAATGCTCTCAAACTATGGTTAAATTCTGTGCTCCTCAAGCAGAATCTGCCTAAGTCAGCCTCTTTACCATCCTAGAGTGAAAATTAAAGTTTGCCCTGGCTACACAATGGATATATAAGCATTTTATATCTATACATGAAAAGAACTACATTTAATGAAACATTCCCATTAGTTAAATTCTTCCTATTAAACACCAAGAGTTACATTTGAAATTTTTAAATTTTAAGCTAACTTACTGTAATAATACACTCCTTTACTTACGTTACTTAAAGGCAACACCAGGTGAGCTCCTAAAAAAAACCCCAATAAGCTTACCCTGTCTTAAGAAAGCTTTTAAAAGTAGTTATAACCTCTAGAAACTGCTCCATAAAAAAAATTACAATGCCAAAAATACTTTGTTTGAACTATAAAATCTGTTACTTGTCATTCCCTATGAAGTGAGCCAAAATCTTTCAGAAGTACTCATCTTTTGAAAGCCTATCCTCCATCCACTTCCTACTACACATACACATAGCACCAATATTGCATAACTTTCTTGCATCCCAATTTCCAAATTCTGTTCTCAACTCAACTGTGGCTTACCAAGAAAAATTCAATGCAATGTGAATCAAGTCAGAATAATGATATTCCTCCTAAAGATGAGTAAAATCTCCCCCTTATTATCCTCAAGTCCTTGACATTATCTGTGTTTTAACGTAATATAACATAATGAACTATGATTTTGCTTCTGTAATTGTTAATTATACTATAATTACCAGTGATCAATAACATGGTATCACCAAACTACAATAATTTATTCAGTGAAGATTAAGGTTTAAGTCAAAAACATGCCCCATAAAGTCATAAGGATAAGCTTATTTAAGTATTTTAAAGTTCAACTGCTATTAAATATTACACTGAATAAAAAGTTCTAATAAAATTAGATAAACCAAAGAATTAGAAAAAACTGACACAACTATTGAATGAAGACTGGATATTTTGATCAAATAAATTGTTTTAAGTTATGATAGCTCTGTTTTAAGAAACTATCTCAGAGATACACACTGAAATATTTATATATATAATTATTTGGTATTTAGGATTACTTCAAAATAACATGGGACAGGCAAAGGGTTTGGGGATATGAATTAAATAAGATTGAAATAGTTAAAAATCGGTGATAAACACATGCAGTTTATTATTCCATTCAATTTCTGCGGCCGGGTGTGGTGGCTCACGCCTGTAATCCCAGCACTGTGGGAGGCTGAGGCGGGCGGATCATGAGGTCAAGAGTTCAAGACCAGCCTGGCCAACATAGTGAAACCCCATCCCTAATAAAAATACAAAAAGTTAGCCAGGCGTGGTGGCACACGCCTACGTCCTAGCTACCCAAGAGGCTGAGGCAGGAGAATTGCTTGAACCTGGGAGGCGGAGGTTGCAGTGAGCCAAGATGGTGCCACTGCACTCCAGCCTGGGCAACAGACTGAGACTCCATCTCAAAAAAAAAAAAGAGAGACTCTTGTTTCATTTATTCCATTAACACTATATATCTCTCTGACAACAAAGACTCATATCACTGCCTACACAATGCTCCAAAATGGTTTTTAAAAACCTCAGGGAGAAGATTACATAGATATGATTTTTTATTTTTTTCTTTTTAAAGAAATGTGGTCTTGCTATGTTGCTCAGGTTCAAATGCAGTAGCTATCACAGGCATGATCAGAGTGCACTGTAGCCTTGAACTCTTGGCCTCAAGCAATCCTCCTGCTTCAGCCTACCAACTGGCTAGGAATAAACAGGCATATGCCACTGAGCCCCACTCAAGTCACGTTTAAAAGGACTTAAATGTCACATAAATACAGAATAAGCAGAAGCAACCAGACGGAAATAAGACTTGAGAAAGAATCATTATCAGGTAGCATATATCTCAACTTATGCAGAATGCAAGTGTAAGACAATAAAAAGTTGGTAGAGTTAAAACATTAGAAAGCTCAATATGGTAGTCAATCATCTGCACCACAGCTACAGAGGAATGAGGTCCTAGAGGCAGCTCTAAGAGTGTATTACAGAACAAAAGACTCCTCTTTTTAGCTTATAACAGATGCACGGTAATAACTGCATAATTAACATTAAAAGTCCCCTCTCCCCTAAATAAATCATATCCCATCCTATACATTCTTCTTTCTAAAAGTAGTTATCTTTTACTAAGACATGCCACTTTCCTTTTCTTTCACAAGTCATACGCCATTGTGTCTACTAAAATCACATATTTTACACTATCAGTAACATTTTATCTAAAATGCAGAACCAAGTAACTAAAATCTGACCTTTGAACTTCAATTTCTACCAAATAGCTATATATTACCAATAATCTATAATTAAAATAAGGTCATGTGGTAAGTCTAAGAAGGCCTACTTTGGACAATTCTAAATTTGGATGACATAAGCCTGCACTAGCAAAGTCTTCTACCTAATGGCAGAAAATGGCAAGCAAAGAAAGAAAAGCATCTTTAAAGATATAGTACTTACTTAAGAATGGTTTTCGCACTACTGCAGTCTTCAAATCGAATGGAGTAACCAACTTCCTGGCCCAACATCACATCCATTTCATCAGCAACTCTCTGAGCCACACTCATTGCAGCCACTCTCCTGGGTTGGGTACAGGCAACTCCTCTCTTGGGTCCTGGTAATGATCGCATGTACTCCACACACCACTGCGGAATCTATCAAATAATTTCACATTTAAATTAATTCTCTTCTGCCTGCATATCAAGCACATATGTAACATAAAACACTTTATCTCATTCCAATGATTTAAAAACAAATTCAATTAGGCAAATGACAAAAAGATTTGTGACTCAAAACTTGTAACACAAGCTCTCTAAACCAAGGAACAGTCATGTGTAATACTGATATAACACATACCCCTGAGCTGAGTATACACAGTCAGAGATGCACTCGACAGGGTGAACTATCCCATCATGAAGTATTTCCCTATGCAATTTTAAAAACTCCAACTTACTACAAATTCTACTTTATAACGTTTCTAACAAAGTGTAACTTTTAAATTCTTATATAATTTGAGTTGCAAAATCAAGTAGAAATCATATCCCCTTGTAACTCTGAAGCTGTACTTGTATTTAATTCAATTCAAATTTGGTTGATAAGCCAGCAGAACCTAACTCTTAGCACCCCACTCTTTGGTAATCTTATCCTTTTCCCCTCAGGAGCAGTATGCACAATGGCAGCACCTTAGGTACCATCTTAAAGTCAATTTTAAGAACTGCCAGTCTCAAATTTAACAGGACCTAGAGCCACTTCGTTAAGCGTGGCCAAAGGGGCGGGGGACCCCCAAGCACAAGTTAAGTTGGGTGCCTTGATGGCAGTACATTTCCCCCCAGTTCCATTATCAACATAAGCTAATGGATTCCCTAGTTTTACAGTTTTACAGTCACTTAACTGGAAAAGAACCATGGGGAAAATGTAAGTGCTCACCACATTAAATGGAAATCCACTGCTGGAAGAGCATAATTGTTTTACATCAAAGCTTCCAGAAGCCTATCAGACTCTAATGCTACAGGAAACATGGAGTTTTCTGCACCGTATCAGTACAGTAAAACTGATGAAGAATATTGGTAGCTGGACTATTATTACATTTTAGTTAGGTTGCTTCTGCAATTTGGGGGTAACCTGTCACTGACAAGTATCTGAAAGGGAGGGTTAATTATGCTGATTCTCTAAAAACATCACATATATCTTTAAAACACTTTAAATGAACAAAAATAACTAAAGAAGTGGTATCTATCAGGTTCTGTAAATCCACAGACCTACATATATCCTCAATTCGGCAACCCTTTCACAAGGGCAAAAAGTACTTTCAAAGATCTAGAAAGTGAAAATTCAAAAACCACTCACTGGTGAACTAAAGATATTTAAAATTAATTCAAAATTCTCAAGGCAAGAATGTTCAGATCTTTTGTTTTTTTGTTTTTTGAGATGCAGTCTTACTCTGTTGCCCAGGCTGGAGTGCAGTGGCACAATCTCCGCTCACTGCAAACACCGCCTCCCAGGTTCAAGCGATTCTCCTGTCTCAGCCTCCCAAGTAGCTGCAACTACAGGCGCATGCCACCACACCTGGCTAATTTTTTGTATTTTTAGTAGAGATAGGGTTTCACCATATTGGGCAGGTTGATCTCGAACTCCTGACCTCAGATGATGCACCCGCCTCGGCCTTCCAAAGTGCTGGGATTATAGGCATGAGCCACCATGCCTGGCCAAGAATTTTCAGATTTTTTAATTCACTCCGCTAAAATCGACAGCTTACCTCCACTTGAAAAACAAGACCAACAAGTTAATTAGCAGCTCTCAGGACCCTTGTACACTCACTCTGAAAATGACCAAGGATGCCAAACTACTAATAAATTTACTGTTAAGAAATTAAAACTGAAAAATTGCTAAAATATTTATTAATTGCTAACAATAAAACCTCATTCTGTTTTAATACAAAATAACACTTTCTATAAAAATGACTACTTTTCAAACAAAAAAAACTCAGCTAGAAGAGTGCATTTCCTTATATTTTTACAAATTCTAGGACCCCTGAAATCGTTTCAAGGACTTTTAAGAACTCCCAGGCAATAGCTGGAGAACCAGTCAGTTAATGCATCTGTTCACATTTCTAAGGAACATAGCATTAAGAAGAGAAGGAGGTCCTGAAATATGTAGGCTACTGGTGTATTCAAGCCAGGGATCAGTTCTATTTTTTTTAAGATGGAGTCTCACTCTGTTGCCCAGGCTGGAATGCAGGGGCACAATCTGGACTTACTGCAACCTCCACCTCCAGGGTTCAAGTGATTCTCCTGCCTCAGCCTCCCAAATAGCTGGGATTACAGGTGTGCGCCACCACGCCCAGCTAATTTTTGTATTTTTAGTAGAGACAGGGTCTCACCATATTGGCCAGGCTGGTCTCAAATCCCTGACCTCAGGTGATCCTCCCGCCTCAGCCTTCCAAACTGCCAGGATTACAGGCATGGGCCACCGCACCCAGCCAGGACTAAGTTATTTTAAAGCCATTCCTCCTTTTCAGCTTCTTCTCTTCCTCCATTTGAGGTCATCTTACAAACTGATCCTCGGTGTTCTAGTCTTCTTGTTTTACACAATATCCTGTGAAGTTTTATATGTTCTAACTTCTGGTATTACCTATAATTCATCAATGCCAATCCTAACTCTAGCTTCCATCTTAGAGTTAATGGTCATTTCCACCTAGTTAGTATCTCAAATTCACACGTTCAAAAGCAAAACCATTTCTCACCTTCCTCCAAAATACTTGTTAATTCCTAATATCCTGACTCCAATCCATTCTTTATTTTCTATTCCCATGGCCCTTCGCAGAATAAAACCTTTTGTTATGACCTCTTACATGGTCTATCATCAGTATGTTCACTAGACAGGACATTTTTTTTTTTTAAATCCTCATCATTCCTCTTCAGTTCAAGAGCTCTGATGGCTTCCAATCTATATAAGATATATTAAGGCTCAACTGACAGCTGCAGTCTCACCTGCCCCACCTCCACCTTCCCAAACCCTCTGTATTCTGGCCAGAGCACATCTGCATTCCCTTAGCTCAACATGTGTCCTTGCTCACACTGTCCCTTTGGCTGACCTAGCTTCAATTCCTTACTCATGTGCAGTTATGTGTCTACTAAGCAGCAATGTGAAACGTCTTTACTGTAGGTCTGTCAAAAGTTAAAGTCATGGTCCGGTGCAGTGGCTCAGGCCTGTGATCCCAGCACATGGGAGGCCGAGACAGGCCAATCACTTGAGGTCAGGATTTAGAGAACAGCCTGGCTAACATGGTGAAACGCCGTTTCTATTAAAAATACAAAAACAATTAGCCAGGCATGGTGGCGCACACTTGCAGTCCCAGCTACTCAGGAGGCTGAGGCAGGAGAATCACTTGAACCCAGGAGGAAGAGGTTGCAGGAAGCCAAGAGTACATCACTGCACTTTAGCTTGGGTAACAGAGCAACACTTTGTCTCAAAATAATAAAAAAAAAAAGTTAAAGTTATTACTTTAGATTTTGTTTAGAGAATTTTTCTGACAAGAACAAATCACCAAAAAAACAGACTGGTTTTAATAGTTTGAGTCAAAGTTTAATAAGAGTATGCTAGGAAACATTTGAATGAAATTCACTCCTTAAACTGTTTGGTTTCCCTTCAAATCCCCCTGATGTGCTGCAATCCTAAGTATTCAAATATCTTTACCCCTCTAAAAGTCAAATGTTAATCCAAATAATCACAAACCTCATCTTGAGTTGACCTGACCTCCCTCTACACTAACCATCAATAAACTCATCTCTGAAATGAGGCTACCTATATCAGACCACAGAATAGCAGTATGAAATAAAACTTTAGATATAAAGACAAAGGTACAAAGTTTTAAACGTTGAGCCCACCAAAATCCACAACCCAACCCAGGACAATTCGCTAAACCTAAGTTTCTCATAAACCTAAACCTCATTTTGCTCATCTGTAAAGTGGTGATGAATGTCTTCCCTGCAGGATTATAGAAAAATGTAAATAAGCTAATACATGTAAAGTACACAGTGTCTGGCTTTACCCAAATGTCAATTAAATAGTAAGTTCAGAGTTACAGTCTTCCATGTAATTTGAAAATTCTTTACATTTCCGTAAGGTGATTTTTGAACACCCTAACATCAATTCTAAGTTTTCTTTCATTAAAAAAGAAAAATCGGCAAGGCTAAGGCAGGAGGATTGCTTGAGCTCAGGAGTTCAAAACCTCAACTCTACAAAAATTTTATTTAAAACTTAGCCAGGCACTGGTGGCATATGCCTGTGATCCCAGCTACTTGGGAAGCTGAGGCAGGAGGATCCCTTCAGCCCAGGAGGTTGAGGCTGCATTCATACCACTGCACTCCAGCATGGGTGAAAGAGACTCTGTCTCAACAACAACAATTAAAAAGAAAAGAAAAGAAAAGAAGAGAAGAGAAGAGAAGAGAAGAGAAGAGAAGAGAAGAGAAGAGTCCCTGGGCCCAGGAGGTTGAGGCTGCATTCATACCACTGCACCCAGCATGGGTGGAAAGAGGACCCGCCTCCAACAGCAACAACTAAAAAGATGTTAAGTTGAAAACAATATAGTTATGTTATGAAAGATAGTTATAAAGATAGAAATATAAATATAAAGATAAAATATGTTATGAGAAGAGAAGAGAAGAGAAGAGAAGAGAAGAGAAGAGAAGAGAAGAGAAAAATGGTGCTAAGGCTCAGTCTGTAATAAAAGCTTCCTATTTTTGTTGCTACAGTACCTTCAAAATGTCTATGCACATGTAACTTTAGAAAAAGATAAATTGTGTATGCAGTATGTTCAATCTCTGCATGGTAAGACAGGTAATTATTAAATTAGCTTTAATACTTTTCTGATTTTTTCAAATTTTCTACAATGATCAGGGACCACTACTTTTGAAACCGAAATAAATTTTTAATTAATGGTTCAGGCTTAAGTGTATAAAGAGTTACTTCTCACTCACAGCAAGAAAATGCAAATTAAAAAGTACACTAGAATGCAATTTTTCACCTATTGGATTTGTAAAAATTCAAGTTCAACGATACGTTTTAATAGTTTCCCACATATGTTCTCATACATGCTCATGGAAAGGTAAATTAATACACTCCCTCTGGAAGGCTATCCAGCTTTCTGTATCACAATTACAAATGATCTTCTGACCCAGCAATTTCTGATTCCTACAGAAACACTTGCCCATGCAAAACAACCATGGGAAACAGCCTATGTCTATCAACAGGGGTCTAGTTAATAATAGCCCATCCGTGTTTAAAAAATATCCTAGATATATTACAAATAAGACACTAGTAACAGTGTTTAGTTCTATGGGGGGGACGACTAGATGGACAAAAGTCACGAGTATAGACTTTATATCCTTTTAGCACTTCATTTTTTCGAAAAATAGATATTTGCATGGCTCAAGATACTATATTAAATACAAACGACAAAAATCTACCCCAGTGGTTGATTTCTCCACCCAAGCACCAGAAAACAAACTGTGTGTCCCTAAATCTGTACTGTACTAGAGTCAAAATGGGTAGGAGAGCATCACTCTGCCATACTTAAGGTAACAAAATTTGAAAAGCGAGCACCACTATTTTCCCCTAGACTCAGGGGAGAGAGGTACTCTCCATAGGATTTCCACTCTGAAATTCAGAGTGCCAATTAAACATCAAAGCAGCTATTCTTCAAGATGTTCCATAGGACAGACAAGGGAAATGACCACCAGAATCAAATATGCAACATTTGCTAAACTTAAACATAAATGAAATATGTACCATGGTATACAGTAACTCACCTGTGTTGTTTTACCAGACCCAGTCTCACCAACCAGTACAAAGGACTGATGTCTAACCAGAATATCTGTAAACCTATCCTTGTATTCCCAAACAGGGAGCTGAAGCCGTTTCTTCAGAATATCATAGTATCGAGGAGTATGGGGTAAGTTGGTGAACGGATTAATGCACTGTGGAAGTGACGTGTGACCTGCATGTCCGGCGTGCGCTGAATGAGCAGAATGTGTCGAATGCGTTGAATGCGCTGAGTGGGTTGAATGAGCTGAATGGGAAGCTTTTAAAGGTGGTAATCCAGCACTGATAAGCATAGCATTCGTTGAAGCTCGCAACTCCTTCTCCTTTTCTTTCTCCCTCTCCCGCTCTCTATCTCCTCTATCGCGTTCTCGGTCTCGATCTTTAGACCGATCTTCACGATCCCGGTCTCGATCTCGATCCTTCCTAAAAACAAAAATTTAGAATTCAGATTCTGAATTTTAAGCAGAATGTTCATGTTAGTGTTATAATCACAAAGAGAGTAAATGTCCAACATTCAAGTGAGTAAAAAATCCAATGGATTACGTAACTATCAGAAATAATAAAAAATACCCTACAATTAAGGGCTTCTCATTCTCCACCACAAACATCTTTCCCTTCCTTGCTGATGCCTCACCTTCCTTAACTTTCAACGTAAGGTTACAAAAACTCAGTCTGCTGCAAGTAAAACCCCTCCTACTTAGACAACAGAAATCAGATACTGAGAGTAGGATGAAGAAAGGATAGGTCCAAATTGAGCAAAAGAAGATGGCATCTCAATCTTTCTCAAATTCTCCTTCAATATGTGAAGAGGTATTTTTTGCACTAAAAGTATATTCAGAAGTTAGCACAAACACTGCTACTGGACATAAAGACAACTCCACCTCACATTACTACAGTCAACAGTGGTGGGTTTTGCTCAATACTTTTATAATCCACATTTAATAAATTATTTTAATATTCCTTTCTTTGCCATAGGACAATGTTTGGTTGTAATGCAAAGTGAAAAGAGCGTAGTACAATGTTATACATAACAATATCTCAACTAATACAAATATGAATTACAGGACTGCAGAATTTGTTTTTTTAGTTATACTTTCCAGCACTTTCCCAATTTTGTTCAGTAAATGTATACTGTTTTATAAGAAAAACTGAAATTAAAACACTTTTATTCCTTCTTCCTTGTTTACTCTTGCATTTTAACCTTAACAGCAACAGTAAAAAACTGAAAGCACTCTATAAATCTATGTACCTTGGTCTACCATAAAATGAAACATAGTCAAATTAAAAATAAGCTTCAATGAATACTATTGTTTAACATGTTAAAATTTATGCAGGTAGCCACTCTATTACACTTGGGTCAATTTTAAGTAGTCAATTCTGGTATCTACTTCCAGTTACTGAGATTGACCTTAATAAGTCATTTTAAAAGTATCTATGCTAAGAACTTCACAAGCAGAAGGGCTGCATGTTGCTCATATGCACTGTGGCTGAAAGCAGCCTCTGGGAGACTGGTGGTGGAAATAAAATAAAATAATCTATGCTTGTTCATTCTACTAATCCAGTTTACTACAGACCAACTACTCCAGCAGAGAAACTTGGATGTTTAAACCCAGACTTGAAATAATCAGGCATGATGGAGCTATGACACAAGCCCCTAAACATGTCATTGTTCCTTACCCACAACACACAAAAGTACAACTTCCCTGTGCTCCAAGTACAGTTGTGTGCCATGTACAAATTTACTCAAAGAGAAGAAAAGCCAGATATATGCATATGTAAACATGAAAAGTGATTTTCCCCTCTTCTATCCCAATGTTCACCTACAAAACTCACAGAGCATACAAGCCAGAACTGTATGAAGCCTCTCATCTCACCTGGCATAAACAGAAAGAAAATCAATGGGAAAGAAAAGTCAACGGATAACTTAAAAAACATAAAATGAAGTCTCACAATTCAATACTTGAGAGTCTGGGCCTACCTTCCAAAATATGCCATCAACCATCTTTGCTTCTCCTGTTTCTGGCCTAAGGTGACTGTTAATTAAATAAGTGTTTACATTGCTCCAAAATGCCAATGAGGTGCAGTTTACAATAAGAGTACACAGAAATGTACCCAGCAAAGTGAGAAGCACTGTACTCACATATGGTTCAAATACTAGACATCTTAAAGATCACGGAACATACAGCTAGAAAAGAACTCTTAAAGCACATCTGGTCTATACAAAAAGGATTCATGTTTCTAGTATTCACTCAACCATGGGGGAAGGAGGAGATCACAAAAAATAATTGAAACAATTTTCTTTTTTTTTGAGATAAGATCTCGCTCGTCACCCAGGTTGGAGTGCAGTGGCTCACTGGATCATGGCTCTCTGCAATCTCCAACTTCCGGGTTCAACTGGTCCTCTTACCCGAGCCTCCCGAGGAACTAGGACTACAGACAGGCATGCACCACCATGCCTGGCTAATTTTTTATTTTTGTAGAGATGAGGGTCTCACCATGTTGCCCAGGATGGTTTTGAACTCCTGGGATCAAGCAATCTTTTGCTTCAGCCTCCCAAAGTGCTGGAATTACAGATGTGAGCTACCATGCCCAGCCTAGAAATTTAATGATTTCTATATTAATCATTAAAGTATAGAAATTTAATGATTTCTATACTTCTAGCATAGTACTAGGTAATTAAGACAAGGACCTAACCTTTCAAGAGTTACAAAATTTGGGGGAAGAGCGGTGACAAAGTAAATCATGTATTACATATTGCCTTAGTTTGTTAAAGTAATACCTATACTAACAAAGATTTTTTCAGGGGCCCACTTCATCAGAAGCTTCATTACCAAACCAAACATAGGATGTATAAAATACATTCTAAAGATAAAAAGGTTAGCTGCTGATCAAGCAATGGGGACAGCTGTGGTATTAAAAGGAATGCTGGAATCACAGTTGTAAGACACCACCTCAATTTACTGACCTGCAAAATGATAAGCATTTTCAGATACTTTCAGTCTCAGATTAAAGTAAGAAAACAGGGAGGATGCAGGAGGCAAATTGAGCCACCTAGAAATGTTGCTTATGGCTCAAACTACCTACCTTCAATGAGAGAGGTAGGATACAAATGAAAAGTCAGTAAAGGGGGGAAATCAAACCCTCCACTTCATAAATATTTATCAACTATTGTGCAATGTTTTCTTTTTTAAACAGGTATTTTTTATGATAAAGGAGTTTTGTTCTTAAAAGTTTACTAGTTGATATACAAGGGTTTTTAAAAACTGGTATCAAGTCAGTGTTTCAGACACAGCCACCACGCTAGCAGGGAGAGAGGTGATATGACACAGTTGTTTAACATACTGTTCTGTACTGTGTCTCAGTTCAATCCTGGCTCAAGACTTAAGGCAACTATAGGATCACAGTTATTTCTTCCCTCACCTATAAGATGTGGCTATTAATATGTCTTGTAGAGTATCAAAAGGATTAAATGAGTTAATGTATGTGATGTGCTTAAAGTGTTGTCTGGCACACTGCAAATGCCCAACATTGGTGGTGGTGGTGGTTGTTATTATTATTATTATTCTGAGATAGAATCTTGCTCTGTTACCAGGCTGGAGTGCAGTGGTGCAATCTCAGCTCACTGCAACCTCTGCCTCCCTGTTTCAAGCGATGCTCCTGCCTGTCTCCAGAGTAGCTGGAACTACAGGTACGTGCCACCACACCCCACTCATTTTTGTATTTTTAGTAGAGGCAGGGTTTCACCATGTTGGCCAGGATGGTTTCAATCTCTTGACCTCATGATCTGACTGCCTCGGCCTCCCAAAGTGCTGGGATTACATGCCCAGCCAATATTGGCTATTATTAGAGAACTTTTTAAAGTTCTAATATCATGTTATAATCCCACATGGAAGGCAAGACCTGGTGACTCACGCATGTAATCCCAGTGCTTTGGGAGGCTAAAGTGGGAGGATCACTGGAGGCCAAAAGTTTGAGACCAGCCTGTGCAATATATTGAGACCCCATCTCTACAAAAAACTTTAAAATTAGCCAGGTGTGGTGGCATAGCTGTAGTCCCAGCTACCTGGGAGGCTGAGGTGGGAAGATCACTTGAGCCCAGGAGTTTGAGATTGCAGCGAGTCATGATCACACCAGAGCACTTCAGCCTGGGAAACAGAGGAAGACCCTATATCTAAAAAATGAAAAAACAAAAATTCTACAGGGAATAACAACAGGCATTGAAGTACTGCTAATGAAGATGTAAACTGGTCATCAATATCATGATATTTTAAATAAGCATTGCTTTTTTAAAAAAAAAAAAAAAAAAAAAGGCAGAATCTCACTCTGTTACCCAGGCTGGAGTGCAGTGGCACAATCTTGACTCACTGCAACCTCTCCCTCCCAGGTTCAAGCAATTCTCCTGCCTCAGCCTCCAAAGTAGCTGGGATTACAGGGGTGCGCCACCACGCCCAGTTAATTTTTCTATTTTTAGTAGAGACAAAAATACGTTTTACCATGCTGGCCGGGCTGGTCTTGAAATCCTGACCTCAGGTGATCCATTCACCTAGGCCTCCCAAAGTGCTGGGATTACAGGCGCTTAGCCACCGCACCTGGCAATAAGCATTGCTTTTTATCTGTCAATCTTATTTCCAGGAACTTCTCAAGGATGTGTGCAAATATGTATGTATAAGGATGTTCATCATACTTCTCATTTATAAAATAGCAACAAGTGGAAAACTTCCTAAACATCAATGAATAGAATACTGGTTAAGTAAGTGATGTCATACCTTTACAACTAGAGTACTATGGCAGCCATTTTTTTTTTATGTTTTATTTTTTTTGAGACGGAGTCTCACTCTGTTGTCCAGGCTGGAAGACAGTGGCGCAATCTTGGCTCACTGCAAGCTCCGCCTCACGGGTTCACACCATTCTCCTGCCTCAGCCTCCCAAGTAGCTGGGACTACAAGCATCCACCACCACACCCGGCTAATTTTTTGTATTTTTAGTAGAGTCAGGGTTTCACCATGTTAGCCAGGATGGTCTTGATCTCCTGACCTCGTGATCCACCCACCCTGGCTTCCCAAAGTGCTGGGATTATAGGCGTGAGCCACCACGCCCGGCCCATGGCAGCCAATTTAAAAGCATAATATATACCTACAGTTAATGACATTTCTGAGTGGAAAAAAAAATCAAAGTACAAAATGACACGTGTTGATCCCACTGATATTAAATTTTATAGCTCATATTTTTGAGTCAATACGCAGAGATCTTAAAAAATGTTCACCAAAACATGTTCTCCAAAGACGGAGATGAAGATTTTAGGGAATGCCTTTTTTAAACCTTTGAGTATGAACATTTCCTATGTTCCCGTGGTAAGTTCATTTAACCTCATCTACCATACAGGATTGTAGTGAAAATGTGTGTGCTCTACAAATGTTATCACG